GATTTTCAATAGTGCCTTCGTTGTTGCTGTAGTACTACTTCGGTTGTGTACCGCGAGCACTAATCATAAGCCTCACCATGAGAGTACTGGCATGATTGCCCCGCAAACACGAAATTGAAGTTCCGAACGACGAAGTCGATTTCCCTAAAGGGACGAAATTGAAGTTCCAAAGGTGTACTCGACGAAGTTGAAAGTTCTATGACGAACTCGAAGGTTCGAGAGTCGGAATTGAAAGTTCTATTAGGACGAATTTGAACTTCCTATCGACTTCAGACGAACTTGAAAGTTCTATGACGAAGTTGAAAGTTCTAATTGCGAATATGGTCTTCCCGTTTCGGATTCGTACCTCCAACTTCGCGCGTCCCGACGAAATTGATGGTTCCAAAGACGAACTAGATGTTTAAAAGGTGTAGGTGATAGTCTTTCACTGGAAAGTCTCGCATGTTCGTCGTTTGCGTTTTCGTGAACGTGATGTCGGTGCAATCGGTTGAAAACACAAGTCGGGGAGTTTTCCTCGCAGTGGGAGCTACTTGAGTGAGAGGTGGTGGACTGCTTGTGGCTCTCTTAGTCTCAGTAATGATCGAGAAACAACTTACATCAGTTTTTGTTTGCCCGAACTGGGATCGTTTCCAGGCGAGCGGACCTGGACTTCTTGTCGGGCAATAAATTTCCATTCCACGAATGTCGCCAGTCTCTTAGGAGTTAGGGTTGCCTCAACACATCCTTCTATTAACGAAGGAGTGTGAAGTTTTTGAAGTAGTTGGTGACCATGGAAAAATGTTTCGGGCTTATTAAGCGGACATAGCACTGTTGTATAGAAAGAAGGTGCTTTTTTGATCAGTTGATAAGTCCCGATGGCTTCCTTTCCTGCCTGCAGAGCAATGGCCGTCCTCATGGCTGTGTTGGGCAGTGTGTACGGAGAACCTCCCGGGTGTCATGTTTTCTATATGCAAGATAGAAACAGCTCGAGTGATTCAGCTCTTTTCAACAAGCATAAGCAAGCATTCTTCAAATATTTAGTGAGTCGACCATAGAATGGCTTTAGGGGTGGAGACTCCTCGCGATTCTCAGGTTGGGCAAAAGGATGTCATGAAGGCTCGTGCGGTGAGGGCTACATGTCCCAAGATAGAGTTCGAGATGTTAGTCCCCCCACATCCCCAAACACAATGGTGCATCGACGTAGATAGTGTAAGGAGGGTAGCGATGTTCCGTCAGGTTTACTATTACCCCAAGCCCTCATTACCCCGGCCAGCCCGGCTACACAGACCCCACCGACCAACAGTTGATAAACTCCCTGGCGTACATCACTGGGCATATCAATCGTATAGCCAACCGCATACCTTTACAGTCTATCTTCCTTATTGGAGTTTATAGTGGCGCCGCTATTGCCATACAGACTGTGTGAGTTACTTGTAGACTCACCTCTTCCCACTTCCATTCATCTTCCTCAGGATCCTCTATCCCGGTAAACTCGGAGGAGTATTTTCCTTCGCTGGTTGGATACCTCTATCAAAGGGGGCAGCCCATCTGATCAAGCCTGCCCAAGATGAGAAGATGGTGATGCGTACTCCCATCAGTGGTGTTATGAGCGTGCAGCGAGATGATAGGAGTCTAGTGATCGATGGAACACTACATAACCTCGGAAACGTGTGTCCAAAAGGGCAGTGCCACTTGCTCAGTTGACCATATGTCAGGTTCTGGCGGCCTCTGGATTCCTCGATAGCTTCCATAGTGAAGCACCTACAGAAGAGTGGCCCTGGGGTACGCTATCCTCTATGATGGCTCGACCGACGTGTGGAGTGGTCTGGTTGGCTCATTCACAGATGGATGAGGTGGAGAACACGGTGAGTTATTCCATCCACAAGCAACTTCGATCACGGGGATGGTGCTCTACTCACAGACGATGACCAATCATGTCATGGTTATCGCTAATAGTATACGGTTAATAATGAAGCTGAGAATATACCGGAATTTTGAGTCGTTCATCGTGGAGTAAGAAAAGTGTTTGTTACGGTAGATACAACATGTGCTTTTCAAACACCAAAGTTCAATGATGGAGGACTCCATGCGGAGAATATGCGGAACGAGCTTTCAGCTCATCACTGATCGCCCTGGTCAAGATGCTTTCGACAACGATAAGTACGAGTGAGTGTCGCTTTTTTCCGCTATTCTAAAGTGCATGACAACACTGTAGGGCACCAGAGTGAATGCTGAGCTTCTCGCGCTGATTACCAATTTTAGCCGGGATCCAGTCTTGTCAGACCAGACTCTTACCACCTCCTCCGCGATCTCTCTCTCCTACAAGAATGGAATGTTCCTACACACCGTATAGTGTTAGCGGGGCATGGGAAAGCAGCCGAAGCCATACAACGATTTGTGTAGGCCACTGTCGCAGCTATCTTCGTGGTTCATCTGCATCGTTGTTAGCTCGGAGAACCCAACTGTCACTCGAACACTCGCGGGCGCCCTTCTTCTCAAATTGAGTCCGTCCGATGTAAGTCGTACCTGCAATATTAGTTGACGGAGCAGCACTCTTCTCATTTGCAGGCCGTCCCTCGAATTCACAATCCTCCCCTGCTCCCTATTTTATACGAGGAGCGATCGGAGCTAACTGGGTAGAGATCATTACTACACCTTTTCAATCTCAAATTCAACAATTGAAAGAACAAATTAGATGAATGAAATTTGATTTCGACGAGTGAAAGGAGTTTTCGGCGAAACGAAAGTCCAAATTCGAAACAAAAGTTAGAATTTCGTAGACCGGTCGAAAACGAGAGTTCAAATTTATGAATGAAGTTTATTTATTCGGAAACGCAAGTTCAAAGTCGTCGAACACAAGACCAATTCCGACCAATGAAAGCTCACTTTCATTCGATGGAAGGAAATTCTCGTGAGCGTCGTGCCACGGATCGACTTGCGACTCGCAAATTGCGAGTGCTGATGGTGCTCTACGGGCTGCACCGTAATGCTCAACAGTACAGTGCAATCCAGAAATTTGCAATGAAGGATTTTCAGAGATCCGAACCGGGAGATTTTTTGGGTTTGATTCTCCCATGGAGGATCTCCATTACCCTTCCGATGATATCGGAAGGGCGATGGGGTCAGCACATGTTCGGTTCGATTTCCTGACCGCCGAACCGAACTTTGATCGACCGAATACCGAACCGGACCAAACCTCTACGAAAAGTTCGGGTTCCGACGGGTTACATCGGTCCCGGACCGACGGTCCGGCGGACCGATGTGACCCAACGTTCCGGGGAACTACCCGTAAATCTCACTCAGTGCAATAACTGTTCACATTTGAGAAGTACCTCGAGCAGTCTTTGTCTTGTGTTTGACGAATTTCAACTTGTGTTTCCGACCTCATAAATTTCATTTACGAATTTGAACTTTCATTCTTGAGTGGTCTACGAAAATCGAATTTTCATTTCGAATTTGAGCTTTCATTCGGTGAAACTCCTTTCATCCGACTAAAATCAAATTTCATTTTTCTAATTTGTTCTTTCATTTGCTGAATTTGAAATTGAAAAGGTGTAGGCTAGCTCTCATGATTCGCTTTGTGACTCAGATTGGATTCGAAACTACTTGAAGGATTCACCATATTGTTCTCGGCACCCCCAAGGCATTGTGTGGTGATATTGATTGTTAAGGAGGTCGTCGAGCTACTGGCCATGGGCAACTGGGCTGAGGCGGTGAGTTCACGTACAGTATTCACAACAGGGTCGATTCTTGTACCTTTCCTGACTGCTTCCCCTTCCATTGCTGACAAAGGACCTACAGTAGAATCACCACTTCCAGGTTCGGCGACGTGGTAGTGATCGTAGGCTTACCAAGAAGTGCAGTTCCGGCATCGAGTTCATCAGCCTAGTGGAGAGCATCTTCGGGTGAGGCCTCGGTTATTTGAAGTATTCCATTACCGTTCTCTTTGGCGTGATTGTTTGTTCAGGTCGCGCTCTGCGGGCTCGCCTGCTCAGCCTGACCCTAGCGATGCTCGAGCTCGTGCTCGTGATCATGAAATAGTCAATTTTCTGAAGATGAATACAAGGGCCAGCAGCTCGCTCGTATTCATCACAGAATCTCTCTCGAATCCTCTAACGTGAGTTCTTTTGTCCTGACTTGTCTCATTACTTGGTCCGCAGGAGGTATGTGGATGAACTTGATATACGGCCGTCCGTTATTGACAGCCCGCTCGCTTTACACTCTAATGAGCAAGAAAACAAGGTCGAGGTAGATCATGCAGTTCTCAACGCTTTTGAGAGATACCGCCTATCTCGGATATCCATTTTCCGACGTGAATAACCACTCATTATTTCCTCGTCACCGCTTTGGAGCACTCCATATTATACAACCTCCGCATTTCAGGAAGTACTACAGGACTCGATTATTCCAACAGTATTGGATTGGGCAACACAGAAATCAAGAGCGGTCGATCTTCCTGAGCGAGACGGAGATTGGAAGCTGATTTAACAGATGTTCTTAGTCAACTTGTTCTTTTGGATGTTATCATGTGCATGAAGATGTACCACCTGTTGTCCTTAACCGGAAAGCTTCTTGTTAATGTGTCACTAGAGGTCAGGCCCTTGAATGTGAGAACAGACCGAATAGATCCTTTTATTAGCCGAGGAATGAAGCTCGTGGCTGGTCACAGAATCCCTCACGGTGTGTACAGATGATATAATTGACAGAATCACGAACCTAGGCTTAGCGATAATGCAAGTTCTCATACGCAGCGACTACCTGTGATTGTTCCCTTTGCCAAGTAGAGGAGATTTTGTGTTTGATGAAGCAACAACGTGAACACGGTCGCTCGAAGAAGGTCATTTCCAGACCAGGGAAAGGGCGAATGGTTCGGGCGGTACGTTTCCAGTATAAAGCTCTCAATAACAACACACGACCGATCTATCTCCCTCACTCGTAGTCTCTGATCGGTAGCGCTGAACTCGGAGGCTCGACACGTCTTTGAACGGTTCTGCATTGATGCGAGGCATTCTCCGTAGATTCATGCATGGTTATCAACTAGTCAATACTTTACTATGGCATCCTCCATCATTCATGGAGGTTTTACTATCTTGATGACTGTGTTTGGCAGGGCGTATGGAGGGAATGCTGCTTGCCATGTTCTGTATCTTCCGGATAGGAATACCCCGGTCGATCGGGATCTCTTCGAGAAACACAAGGAGTCATTTAATGGCTATTTGGTGAGCAGTCAGGCGTTGTTACCGAGATCCAATTCAGTGAGTTCTTATCTTTTTTAGGCTCACGTTGAGCCGTCTTCTGCAGCTGGTGCGGTGAGGGCTACATGTCCCAAGATAGAGTTCGAGATGTTAGCCCCACCACATCCCCAAACACAATGGTGCATTGACGTAGATAGTGTATGGAGGGTAGCTGTGTTCCCTCAGGTTTACTATTACCCCAAGCCCTCATTACCCCGGCCAGCCCGGCTACACAGACCCCACCGACCAACAGTTGATAAACTCCCTGGCGTACATCACTGGGCGTATCAATCGGATAGCCAACCGCATACCTCTACAGTCTATCTTCCTTATTGGAGTTTATAGTGGCGCCGCTATTGCTATACAGGCTGTGTGAGTTACTTGTAGACTCGACTTTGCTTACTGCCATTCATCTCCCTCAGGATCCTCTATCCCGGTAAACTCGGAGGAGTATTTTCCTTCGCTGGTTGGATACCTCTATCAGAGGGGGCAGCCCATTTGACTTCGAGCGTTGCATGGGAGCGCACACGTACTCCAATATGTGGAGAACCGAGAGCATCTGTCGGCAACAAGATACTCTCAATAGTAGGAGCGCTGTATGACCGTGTCACCTTCGTAAGCTGTAAGGGATGATTCCAATATAGACTAACTGCCACTCCCGTCCAGGACCTCGCCAAGTCGGGTTTTTTCAAAGCCTCTTTCTGCGGCAAGCGTGACAAGGGCCAGCCCTGGGGGAGTCTAGTGTCTATGATGACCCAACCGTTGTGCGGAGTCATTTGGGTAGTCCCGCCAGGTCGTAGAATACTCGATCATAAGAAACAAAGGAAGAAGGAGGTGATCACTGGTCGTGGTTCCGGTCCACGTCAGGGCCGATCACTGGGACGCGTTCCTCCCCACGCATGGTCTTGTTCTGGTGCCTGCATAGATGCTCGTAGTTCTATGCAGATGCAGAGAATTCTGCGGAGCTCTGGAAGTTCGAAGGCGGCTCATCATCTACAGCGAGTTTGTGGTACAAGAATTCAACTCCAGCTGCATGAGATGCGCCCCAAGAGCGCGAAGAGGTTCTCTGAGTGAGTTCATAATGATGCCAATCTACCCTCGATTGTTCATCGCGTGAACCCCCACAAAACTGCGCTTTTAAGAATATTCACCTGGCGTACTTACTAAATACTATTTAGTGCATCGAACTACAATTCAACTGGACAGTTGTACGCTGTTATCAGAAAAACTTCATCTCTCGCGGATTATCCCCGAAACCTCGCCATCGCCTCCTTCCACGATACTCTTAAGGATGAGTATTCCGCCCTGATCCGTGATCGTATCCCTGGTCATCGCATCGTCATTGGCGGAGAAGGCATCGGGGCTCGAGGTGTGAAGCGATTCGTGTACGGACTTTGTCGTTTTTCGATCTAAACCAAAACTCCTCTCTGTCAGCATGCAATGTCCCACCATAACTAGTCAGCTTGCTGGTATTCTCCTGTTGAACACACCAGAAGTGAGGAGTCAATGCATGGTCATGGACCCCGCAGTGTTTCCGATAGGCCCTTCGCCCACTTGATCTTAATGATCCTGGTGTGCCAGAGGTTTCAGTTACTCACGAGAAGGGATCCAGCAAAGCTGAGTATAGGTCTTTCGCTGCTCTGGAGCATCGACCTACAATATCCTCGTCAGATTGGATTCGAAACTATTTGAAGGTTTCACCATATTGTTCTCGGCACCCCCAAGGCATTGTGTGGTGATATTGATTGTTAAGGAGGTCGTCGAGCTACTGGCCATGGGAAACTGGGCTGAGGCGGTGAGTTCACGTACAGTATTCACAACAGAGTCGATCCCTATACCTCTCCTGACTGCTTCCCCTTCCATTGCTGTCAAAGGATCTGCAGTAGAATCACCGCTTCCAGGTTCGCGATAATGCTCGAGAACTAGAACTATCAGATAGATGTCATGGTGAAGTTGAATTTATTAGTCTAGTGGAAAGCATCTTTGGGTGAGTTCGCAGCCACCTAGTGGGCAACCGACTATTCTTAGCAGGGAAACAGAAAGCCGAAGCCATGGTCCTCTGGACGATCGAATTCCCAGCATACGCAGATTTCTGGAGGGTAAAGGAACCAACTCCCTCGTCGTCGTTACACAATCAGTGTATGATACCCTGGGGTGAGGTCCACCTCTTTTCGTAGCCATTGGAGTCTTCTCGGAATTAGATTCTTGATCAGAGCTCTTGACATGCGGGTGATCTGTATAGGGGATCCAACGCTTCCCTCTCCGGACAACTTGGAGACGGAACCCAAAGTGGGACTATCTGATATCGGATCGGTCTTGCCTGAGGTGCGAGAATTCATAGACGATGGTTACACCGTCAAGGCCATCACCTTGAGGGAACCAATCTTCCGGGGAAGCCTTATTACTTCGGAATGGCATTAATCAGAGCATCTAGATGGGCTCATCACCAGACTTTAGCATCGTTGCATTCAGCATTCATCCTCTCGGTCAGGTGTTGATGAGAGACTGCATCATCCCTGTGATTTTGAATTGGGCATGGAGTGGTATCCAGATTCTAAGATGCAACTCATCTAACAGCGATAGCGACTGGGAGTTTGTATAGCTTGTGACTATTCAAGAGGTGTTCATTCGTGTTTGTCAAACATGTTTGCTGTGAAACGCAGAGAACTAGGTGTCCATTCATTCAATACGGTATTACGTTACTACAGCCTGGTTGGAGTCATCTCTGGCACAGGCACTTCAGCGGCTCTAACAACTTCGCCCATCGGCTTCGGCTCGGAATCGCTGAGAGTGTTCTCGCTCAATCATACTGAGTGGATCTAGTAGCTGTTTCTTTTCTGATGTTCCTAACGGTACGTGCACCATTATTTTCATGGTTCGTATTACTCGGTTCAACAAGACTGATGTTTGGGGAGTCGGCGTGTAGGATACTGTGTTTACTACAGACCGCTCCGAACAGCGAAGAGGAGGTGGAGGCCGATTTCATGGTAGCCTTCCGTGATGCATTTGATGTAAGTGACTCGAATGTTGGGGTTATCAACTTGAGAGTTACTCAGGTCTTGGTGGATTCCACAAACTCCTTCGACCAACTCTCACGAAGCTGCGGCGAGGCCAGGTTCTCTTGGCTACCATTCCCTGCTGGGCAGACCGACTGGTATGCACATCCAGGGTCTACTAGGACACAGAGGTTCAAGATTGATCGCGGTTTAGGTTTACCGAATCAGCAATGGCCCACCCCGATGACCCCATGTTAGAGAACTCCCTACGATATCTCAGTATCACGGTCAACGAGCTCATCGGCGTTGTACCGGCGCATCACATAATTCTGGTCGGTCAGGGGACTGGAGCCGCCATGGCGGCCTACTTCACGTAAGTCTCCCAAAGGGAATCCCGGAAATCTAGGAGGGCGTTGTTCATGTCAGGAGTGTTTACCCACTGAGTCTGGGAGGTGTGATGACCATCGGCGGTTGGGATACTTTGGCTAATGTGACGCCTAAAATCGCCGATGTTGGTATGTCGAGAAGAACGCAGATCAGGACTTATGGGGAACGATCGGACGATGTTGGATCTATTCGATCAATCAAGGTAAGAGTCTGCGCTTGGTTCTCTTCACCGTCTTTTCCCCCTAGACCAATAATCTCCCACGCGTTGGGCACGATCTACTCACCGATTTGTTGCTGCTTCTAACTCGACCACTGTGCGCTGTTATTTGGCTCACTCCGACCACGCATGTCCATAAGGACAATCCTGCCGTTACATCCGTGTGGAAGATTTCGCACGTTATAGAAGATCTGATGGGCTCTTCGGTCCGAGCAGAGAATTACACCGCGTTCGACGAGTCGCTCGAACATGAGTGTGGTGGAGGTGTCGCCTACAGAACCGTGCAAATTCCGATTCCGGAGCTATCCAAGATTCGGTAAGCATAGGAGCATCCAGCCATAGTGGTTCAGTCGATTGTGTCAGGGATGGCAACCCTTCTAGCAGTGTTGACGATGTCTTGAGAGAATTCTCCGAGCTCATTAATGTCCATCGTGTACGACAGAATCGTATCATCATTGGCGGCAGTCACGGCGCAGAAGAGGCTGTATTGCAACTCATGTGAGCAGTCCAGTATATGCCAATATGCCTGTTGAATTGTGACCTATTAAAGGCACAGTTTCGTCCACATGTACGGCAAAGTTGCTGGAGTGATCCGGTTGGTGGACAAAAATCGGCAGGTGAATCACTATGCCTACAGCTCAGGCTGGATTTGGCTTCCCTCAAGTGTCTCCGCCAACCTTCCGACATCCACTGTCGATTCCTATCAGATCTATTGATGTGAGTTCGGCTCTTTTTCTGCACAGCCTTACTTCGATTTCAAATTTAATCTCTATGCTCAGCGCGAAAAACTTAGCATAACGGCTCTTGATTAGTGCTGCTAGATTATGAAAAGAATACAACAACGTCTTAGCGTTATGCTATTGAGCATCAACTCGATAGAACTGGAGTGTAACAGTTTCAGTGCTTTACAGTTCTATCCATACTTGTCGAATTCAGAGTCGATTCATTCAGTTCCATGCTCACTGGTTATATGCCTACTGGTATAAGCGAGAGGCCGGCACTCTGCTGGCAGAGGCTTTCAAGAATATGTTAACTGCACCATCGCGGCAATGCTCAGTCGTATTGTTGGTGAAGAATGCCGCCGAAGCGAGAATGTTCGAGGGATGGGGAGAAGCTGTAGGTTGTGCATCAAACTAGAACAGGATGCCTACGATAGAAGCGAGTGTTCTAATCACTCTATGGTTTCAAGATGAGAGTCCCTCTGCGACTCGGCTGATATGAGAGGGATTGAGAGCGCCGACTGAGAAAGTGACTCTGACAACTGGGAGATGACTATACATCAGGTTCGTGAGAAAGCCCGGCAACGTAGGTTGCCGCTACGGAGAATGTGCGAGGGCGAAGTCATTTTTACAACAGTTCTCCTCACTGTGGCTCAGTAAGCTATATCTGCATCCTTCGCAGAGGGAGTTGCTATATTAGCGCGGATAACTACCGTGTGGCCGTGTCCTCATCCTCGCGAGGTATAGTATGTCAGTGTTCGTCTTTCAGGACAGCAATGAGTCTAAGTAGCTTACTCGAAGAGCTTGCTTCACCCAACCGAACGTTTGTCCTTCTCCGGAGCTCGACGGATCCTGTTGGAGCAGCGTAGCAGTATAGGTTACCTCCGGTCGTAAATCACTCACCTCCTTGTTCTAGTTCATCGTTACAAGGCAAAGGCTTCAATATTATTGAACTTCCTCCCTTGCCTATTACTGCAGATCGTGATAGAACGGTAACAGTCTATGTTGTCTCAATGCAGCTGTCCCGCTCGATCAGGTCCTCACGGCAGCTCTAGTCGCCTCAGCCGTTGGTGGGCCCTGGCTCGAGTAGCATGATTCTCTTGTAGCTGTTCAGAGTGACGTCAATATTCGCGGATGTCGAAATCATGTCTGAGACATTCCGGTTGTTGCTCACCGTGGAGTTGTGTTACAGTGCTCTCAGGAGGTACTTGAGTTCTTCGGCATCATCCCGTACTAGTCAATGACTAGTAGTCATGAAGGATAATACATTCTTCCCTTCATGGTAAATACAGTGAACTCCTCTTCCTTGACCAGGAACGGTGGGCGAGACCCTCGAGTAAACATCATCTATTCCAGTGACGATTATGTTTAGGGGCCCTAGTTGTTTAAGATACTCTCTGGATAGGATTTTATCTCAATGCCCATAGACTCGTTGCTACAAAATGACCTTATACTTGTCAACTCAGACTATTCTTTTTGAGCAATTCAGCAACATCAACAACATGCAATTAACGAAAGATCAGCCCACATGCTCTTTATATTCGAGAAAATCCTCCATACGAACGTAATCTCCAAGAAGCGTGGTAAGAGTCGCACGATTTTCGCCAGCGTACGGGTCGATCAAGTGGCCCTTCACAAGTCCGAAGGAAATAGCTCGGATCATCTTTTTCTGCTTCTGTCGATTCAATAAACAGACTCCGTTCATAAGATCATGTATGTATTGATTTTCGCCTTCTCGTATCGTGTTCGGTATTGTGCCATCCTTGCTCAGTTTCTTCCACAAGTTCGTTGCAGCGGTGATACAGGCCTCATTGCCCTCAGTGGAAGCAGCTCCATTGTAGAGCGAATTGTACCTTGTCCAGAGTGGTTCAGAGAGGAACGATGCTTCAGGTGACGAGGCATAGTGCAAGAGCCCATCGGAATAAGGCTCATTGTCTGCCCGTTTTAGAAGTCCAGAGAAACGCCAGTTGCTGAAGGCAAGAAAACGCGACTTTCGATGGATGTATAACTTCAACCTACTAGTTATAGAAATAGTCGTCGCACTCAATCGCTTCGGTCGCTATTCCCCCAGACCTCCCTGACGGTAATAATTTGAATTCGAAGATCCTCCCTCGTTTGACAACCCTCTTCCTGCTAGGCTCCTCGGCCTTCCAGGATTCATAAGGTGCTTCGAATCGACACACTTGTCGATAACGGCTTCCGAACCAATCCTGATAAAAGAATCCTCTCATTTCTTGAGGACCATTTTGGTTACAAGTGTCCGAGACACGTGCTTCTCACTATATATCACGAACAAAGGTTTCGAATGTCGAGTTTGTTCACGGGGAGACAATCGTTATCGGACTGATTAAACTTACTCCGAAATCTGGCACGAATTTCTCACAGAACCCGATGCAACCCAAAGAGCCTATCCTTGCATCGATGACGGCGAACTCCTGGAGCAGTATCGCAGAGACGATTTGACGAAAACGATAATGCATTTAACTTGGATACAACTGCCATGCATACTTATCCAACCCGGCCAAAGCGAACCGCTATATGAGACTCCTGCAATGCCTTCCTCTGGAATATGGAACTTCTTTTGCGAGGTGTATACGAAATGCTCACTCCCTGTATCACTCACCCGCTGAGCGATATTATTGACCAACACAACCAGCAAGTTGTTGAATTTGGCAAGCGAAACACCTCGCGAGCAATCAAAAACTGTCGTGCACATTAACTCGCTACTCATCATCCAGCTTAGGGGCAAGGAAATAGCGGACGAAACCCTTCTCAGGCGAGTCGGCCACACAGTAGTCGATCTGATCAGTGCGACGTCGACATTAAAACGCTCGAGTTACATCATTCAACGTTACCATGAGTGGAGTCTCTGCTGAAAGACGAAGTGTTACATCATCACTCAGCGCACAAGCCTTGTTAGTGAACAAGAGAAGATAACGAAGAGAGAAGCATAAATTCTCGACAGCCTCCTTGCAATGAGTAATCTGTATAGGGAGTAAAATACCAAACTGCACCGCTCAATTTCATACCTCAACATCGTGCTCCAACTTGATTGATGATGACTTCACATGCCCGTCGCCTGAGGAGTGTGAAATGTTTATGCAACTCTCAGCTCCTTAGCGTGATTACATTTCATAGAGAATTTCACAGAGTTCTTATCGCAGTCAATCCTCAAGTTCTCTCCACCACAGTCCTTCAAGTCACGACAGATCTTCGCGAATTGCGAGCACTTCATCTTGATCTCGCATGAGTATCTAACGACCGAATTCCATACAGAGCTCAACCACCTACTCGATCGTCTTCAACGCGAGATTCATACTCGCAATCAGGCACGCCAAGCTGCTCGTTTTCGATGTCCATCAAGTTCATATCACACTCTACAGCCCTGCCCTCACCAGCAGAGGTGATGGTCAAAGTGTCACAATCCTAAACAGAGGAAAAGTTAAGGTAATGCAAGCCAGGAATTGAATACTTCCTCCTTCTTCAGAGACAAGGAGTCGTCATCACGGCACAGCTTGAGTAGCTTGGTGAGAGCCTCGAAGTTGATACCAACACAGCTCCTGAGCAGAATGTGATTGAATCTAGTTGATACGGAGCGGTAGGAGGAGGAGGCCTACTCTCTGTCGCATCTGAACTCATCGAAAGCGCTCTCTTTCAATTCCATCTGGACCAGGGCGACATGTGTAGTGTCCATGGTTTGAACCCTGATGCCTAACGAATAGTTAACATGGTGCTATGCGGGGATGAGCTTGAGAAGTTTGTTTACCTTCGTCGCTCAAGTCGAAATTTCCCTCTTTGACTATATCGAGGACGGCAGCCACAACCTTCTTGAAGAGAACAGCTTGCTCAAGCTTGCATTCAAACATGATTCAATAGAGATACGACTGTCAAATCGCCACTGCTTGTTGGCGCGGAGAACGCAACGTCGAGGGAACATCCGAGGCGCTCAACAGTTTTTCGCCGATGTCGCGCTCGCCAATCTGATCGATGAACCGCAGTAGGGTTATGTCCGGGATCGAACCAGGGATCTCCCGCATGAGAGTCACATCCGTTACCCTCGTGGCTAAAAGAGCGAAAGAAATTCAAGCATGAAAATGCCTGGCTATTTTGGGCGTTTCGATCGATTTGAACTAGTGGCTTTTCGCTATGTGAACCCAATTCAGTCATCTTCCACCATGGCTGACGTTGAACAACAACTTGAGGCTGAACACTTCGACTTCGGTAAGAAGAAGAAGAAGTCCAGTAAGGAGAAGAAGGTTAAGAAAGAGAAGAAGTCCAAGAGTTCTCATGAGGGCGAGGTAATCCTATAGATTTTCAGCGACCTACTCGTGATTATCACGAATCTGTTGACCCACTTCATCTGTAATGGTCAATGCTCAATCTATTGTTCCTCAGGATGCTTCATTCGAAAGAGGAGTAGTTTATCCCTATGAGCAGCTTCTGGCTCGTGTCCACGAGATGATCAACGAGAAGAACCCTGCTCTCGGCGGTAGCAAGAGAGCGATGAGGTTACCTCCTCCGAAGATCGAGCGGGTCGGTTCCAAGCGTGTATCGTTCGTCAACTTCGGCGAGATCTGCGTCAGAATGAACCGGTCCAAGGAGCACGTTCTACAGTTCTTCCTCTCCGAGTTGGGTACTACTGGCTCTCTTGCTGGTGACGGTCAGCTGATCCTGAAGGGGCGGTATATGGCGAAACATATTGAGTCATTATTGCGGAAATATTTGAGTGCTTATGTTACCTGTCCGATGTGCAAGTCGTTGAACACTGAGTTCGTGCGTGACCCTGCCACTCGCCTCTATGCTATGAAATGTAACAACTGTGGTGCATCTCGAACGGTGCACGCTATCAAGTCCGGTTTCCATGCGACTACTCGCGCTGACCGAAAGGCCGCGAAGCTCGCTAAGTAGTAGTTGACCACTGCTGCGGTATTATCTATTGTAAACTTTCTGTTTGGTAAACGGCACGGAAAGCACGGCTTTGGGGAATCTCTTGAGCACTGCGTCTCTTCACCCCAGGGAAAGTCCTCGTGCGAGTAGTAGAAAGTACTGCCAGTAGACTGGTTACCCCTGGTCATACTACTCTCGTGTGACCGGGGTTGTTGCAGCAGCAAAGTTATGCCGTGGGTTGTGCTTCTGCACAACTAACAGAATGAGGCTTACTCTTCCGCTGTCGTTCATACCCGTACAGATAGGCTACAGTAGATATGGAAACTTCTGTAGAATTTGCACACATTTTTCTCGATCGTCTTTGGTTTGAGTTGATAGTCAAAGGGCTAACCGTGATTAAAGATTAGAGATCCACTTGCTAGAATCTCTTATCAAAGTTGTATTCGTGCCCATGCGAACGGGTATTGGCCAACGTAGTTTTGCGAAGCAGATGTATTGCGTTGGAGTTTCCGGTCTCCGATTCGGGTGAAGACGAAAGTATTGCGAAGTTAGTCAGAATTAGAATTTCATCATTCTAACAGACACGCTCCTCGACTATTCCGCCATAAGGGAATGTTTAGCATCTGTCTATGGCAGTAGAGTACGGAACGTTTATTCGAGAAATCTCGAGATTATCGCCATAAGGGAATGTCTAATGTCTGTCTATGGCAGTAGAGTACGGAACGTTTATTCGAGAAATCTCGAGATTATCGCCATAAGGGAATGTCTAATGTCTGTCTATGGCAGTAGAGTACGGAACGTTTATTCGAGAAATCTCGAGATTATCGCCATAAGGGAATGTCTAGTGTCTGTCTATGGCAGTAGAGTACGGAACGTTTATTCGAGAAATCTCGAGATTATCGCCATAAGGGAATGTCTAGTGTCTGTCTGTGGCAGTAGAGTACGGAACGTTTATTCGAGAAATCTCGAGATTATTCCCTGTCGCCATGGGTTCACTCACATGCAAACGCCTAGAGCAATATGGCGTCCAGCTGAGTGAATTGAAAAAGGTTGCTTCCAGGATTCTATTGAACCATTGAATGGCGTCAACTCACTTGTTAGAATCCGCTGAACTGTGAGGCATGGATAGCGATCATGGCTGGTATCCAGGGGTCTCTTATATCCGCACAAAGACCACAACGCAAGGGATTATTAGAGTCGAACAACATAAAAACATCATTATGCTTCAGTGAGGTCATCATTGAAGTAGAGGTGCAGTACGGGAATATGCTCATCAGGATCGACATCGAGGCTCTTCAGCAACTGACAGCACACAAAGAGAGAATTAATGGGAAGATTCATTGACCACGTCTACAACTCACATTCGCCTCGTCAGGGACGCCGTTTTCCTCCAAGGTCTTCTCCATATCCAGCTTCCTGCCTAGTCGCTTCCATGTGTAGCTCAATGCGTGAAAATTGTAATCGTGGTACCTGACAGAACTGTGCCGAGTAAAGAGAATTTGGACTGTCCAACCGTGTAGCAATCTCTGCTAGAGTTTCCTCTATCGGGACTTCTAGTATGCATGTCTGTCCAATGAGGACGTTCAGGAGACCAATCTTCCGAGTTGCTGTGGCCAGGCTGCCAATATGGTATTGTGGATCGAGCCACCACCTAGCATGAGCTGTACTGCGCATGACTAATACTATACTCCTACGGAATATCAGTAGCCTCGTCTCGGTGGCTTGAGTCGGGGAGGGGAGTGGGGATGTGAAGGTAACGGCCAGTAGGACAGAATGGAACCTACGAAAGGGCGAGGCGATCGAGTCTACATTTATCTGACTTGGTTCACTCTCATATCGGAAAGCTGTGGGTCATTGAAGAGCTTCGGCGTCGGCAGTCCCTCGCTGTCCAGCTCGAACCAATGGCTTATGTCGGTGCCAGCCGCCTTGAGAATGGGTGTGCTGAGAGCCGACCTGTTGCTGGCCATGAGGTTGGTAAGGTCCAGTACCTATTGCAAAGAAGAGGAAGATACCACGAGCGACAACTGTAAGCGATTTACTCTGCCATGTACTGCTACCCAACAGTCATTGTTCTTGCTGTGGCTAGCCAGATCGGATGGTGTATAGAACCTCCGAGGAATGTACGATGGTGGCACATCCCCTTGACAGAAGACTTCCATGTTGTCTTTTAAAACAACTGACAAGCATGTCCATCAGGGAAACTCTTTCGAGGGAGCCCATCTCGATTGTCACTCGAAGCTTGCCAGCGAATCCTCTGCGAGAAGTGTTCTCGTGACAAGATTGTCTTGGTAGTCTTATTTAGGACCCTACTGATCCGCATATTCACGGTAATACCGCAACGAGAGTATTGACAACCATACATATCCAGCTTGCAATAGAAACAAGTCCGAAACGCTGTGGGCCAATGAATGCTACACTTCCACTGCTACTTCCCAACGGCAGAGGCAGCCAGTTTGGCCGTCTCCAATGTCGTCTGCTGGATCTACCTGTTCAAAGAACATTGTGCTTCTACATACTAATAGATGACGATCTCAAAAGGGTCTAGGGAAAGTTCTCACTTGGGTTCTTCGCGCAGCCACGTATACCGATTCGGGAGGACCCTTACGGAATGCTCCCGCCATCAATAGAAGCCGAGACAAGCTCGCATTAGCCACGTCATTGGCAGGCTCGGGAGTGCTGCTCAAAAAGAGGTAGATAACAGCTCTTGGAGAAGTCACTTTGGGCTGAGGACCGGGTGCGGCCGCCGCTACCTACTGCGACGGCGACGGCTTGCTGCAAATTGGCAAAAAAGCGCAATAGCGTTGAGGAACTCCTAGAGAGCAAGATTTGTTGACCTGAAGAAACAACAACTTGACAAGTTGTTGAAGGCGAACAAGTTGAACTTGTTCGCCTTCAACAGTGTGTTAGAACGTTTTACCTTCGTAATCACGGGAAGCTGTCTGCATAGGGTCGTTGGGGCGATTTACCCCTGAAGATTTCATGATAATTTTCAACTGAGGTATCGAATTTGCTTATCCGGTCAATTTGCGCCTGAGAAAACCTCGCCAGTCGAAGGCTGATTTATGAGGAGCTCGTCCTCGCACTGTGAAGACGTATGGCAAGCCGTTACGGCCCTCATCCGGTGCGTCGTATCGTGATGTCACAGGTTGTGGTGGAAGATTGGATTTCAACCACTGGCAGTGTTTGAAATCCAATCTTGTAATCCCAGTGCTACACTGGGTCGATACAGGTCCCGATGCAGTAAGTCGTTTTAATGACTCTTTTCGGGTATTCCAGGGATTTGAATATGAGGAAGTTGAATCTTGGAATTGCTGTTATCCGCATAGCATTGTGTTTCCTTTGATCGTCATGTTGCTTGAGTTGTTAGCTATAATTTGTTCGACATCGGGTCAATCGCTAGCGATTCAGTAGTGAGAGTTTGAGACCGGCGTAGTACTAGCCTCAGTTGGTCCGACCAACGTGGTCGTATAGGCCCATGGAGGAAAGAATGCGGATGCGGAGGACGATTAGTAGAGACCTGTAGTCGCCTAAGATGGATAAGTACATCGGTGTCGTAACCGTAGTCGGACAAACTATCGGGCCATAGTGGCCCGGCACCGAGTTCATGCCACTCCGCGGTCAACAAGGCGTAATCGGTATATTTAGAGGCCTTGATTGCATTGTGTTCCGTAAAGCGTTCCCCATTTTCCTCCGATGAGTTGTACCAGATGAATGAGCGGATTAGAGACATATCTTGTATGGTCGGCGAGTCACCCTATAAAAATATTTATCGGCCGCGGCATCACTCAGTGTTACTTCACCCACATGGAAAAGCCGTATGAAACCGAAACCGAAACACATACTGAAGTCTGGCCACGAGAAGTCAGTTATAGTCTAAATGCCCACCACCTTGTGCGATCCCCTCCACCACCATGAGTGCCATATGTCTTATTACGCATACTATTGGTGCGAGTGTTTGAAAATACTCCCGGACTGACCTCGGTTCGAGAACCATCTTTATGTCGTTTGCTTCCCAAGTTGTTTTCATCGTGAAAATGCCGTACATACTAAGCCCTCACAAAACTTGGTCAATGCTTATCCAGTTAGCTGCACTTCATAGAGGGCTCATGGATTGCTCTTGCAGGCAGGCCTCACCGTGATGGAGTATGGTGAGTAGCCGTTGCCCCCTCCGGAAGGAGCTCTATCCGGGTGCGACGAGACGGGGGTGAGGAAGATGTATCATCTGAATTACCCAGCTACTCTTCGTTTGAGCAATCTCATTAGTTTCGACAGCGACTTGCACTAGTGGGAAGGGTCGTGTTGAACTGGGGTGTTAGTCGACTGAGTAGCGGGAGATCTGACGATGGATCTATTTCGCCCAACATCGTGAGCCCAGTGAGCACGCCACGTTTCCTTAGCTCGAGCTCCTTCTGATAGCAAGATTTCGGGTGGATGAAGTTTACTCAATTTGAACTACTCAATTCATTGGCTGAAGTCCACCCCGCCGCTCACCTCGATCTCTCACGGAAGCAGCTTAGTTGTTAAACTGACTCTCTTGACTCAAGAGTCTTGAGAATTCTGCACAGCTACATACAGCCCTCGAGTCCGTAAACCGCGTTCGATATTACACTAGCAGACGCAACAACTTGCGAGTAATATCAATTAACATCTCTCATGATTACTCACAACAACATATTGACATGCGATTGGATAGATATTGCACTGCATGCAGAGTACCCTTGAATCTCCGTCTTCAAGAGTTAACAGCGGGATTCACTTTCTTGCTAGCCTCAACAACTCTGTTGCTGAACGGTTGACATCAGCACAGAGATTCTTGAATGTGAAGAATTCGCTAATCCCATACATCATACCTTCACAAAGTCTCTCTTGTAGTCTGACAGCATCTGCCTCCAGGAACCTTTCGTTTGTATGTAAGTCACGTGGGCTCACGAACTTTGAACGGGCACTCGCGTTCTCAGGGACGAGCATTGTCATATCGTTCATTTTCCGTGAGAGTTGATAACGTACTTCCAACATTGAGGACGCATCGAAGGCTTTCAGTGGATCAACATTGGATGACTCAGGGACACTTTTGAAGAAATGTTCGACCTGGCCCGAACTATAAGTGGTTAGACTCGAATTGTACCTGAAAGGATAAATGCGATCACGCGAATGACGGTGCTACTGTTAATTCATTACCAGGTGGCCACGAACCCATCTAGGTAACGACCTTTTCGACAACGAATCTCGTCAATCTCCGGCTGCCCTTCTCTATCGATGATAATGCCTAAGCCTTCCTTATCGGTAGAATAGAAGCAACGCACCGCGTAGTCCTCAAGCCTCATCGTAGAACTCGTTAGAGGGGGGAAGTCCTGTGAGATGAACCAGCTGAATTCGGAATGATTAGAACGACTATCAGGAACTCACATCCGCCGCCTTCTTCATTATCAATGTCTGCTCGTCGTATGATTCGTCAAAGATCAAACCTTTCATCCTAGCTCTGTCAACAGCCTTTTTGGCTTCTCGATGATATACGTCGCAAAGTTGCTCAAATGTTCGCTTTCCGAGAAGATCTCTAACAGTTGAACCAATAGCAGTTAGTTGGGCGATAATATCCACACCGCCCGCTGTGCTATGTTGCAATCTCTTCAGCTCGGCCGAGTCCCAGTTGTTCTTGGTGTTGGTCGCCAAGCCTATCAGTTTAGCGGATGCAGCAAGCTGATCAAGTTGAGGCTGGATTATCGATATGTCAATTCTCTGCAGTGGGTCGGAGTCCAAGTCCATAGCATTTCGGTGGAAATGGTAATTTCGATTGGCCGAGCCCTCAACTTCGTGATCGAGCAAAGCTGGGGCATCATCGAAACTAAAAATGGATATGAAGAGGCAACAGTTGTTGTTGAGATAGAGTCGCTCACTATTTGCTGATGATGCGCGGGCGAAGTTCGGCCTGTGGACAAGCCATTTTCTGCGTCTTCAGACCAGTGTTATTGTTCACGGAAATGCAGAGAAGGTCGAAATGATATCTATCCTGGTCAGGGTTGCCGAAGCAGTATTTGGCTCTGAATGGCTTAGCACTCAAGCTTAG